AGGGCAATCAGTTTAAATTGTCCACCCCAGTCAGCCTCAGTGAACAGTCAGGGAACAATAAGGCATATCTGAAAGGTACGATGAACATACTCAGGATAATAAATTGTGCTCCACCCAAATTAAAATGGCCAGAAATGTGAAGCAGGAAAATTCGACCTCATCTTGAAGACAATGAAGAGACAGAGAAAATGTAGGAGTGGAAATCGACCTGATCAGGTCAACCTTTTTTTACAAATAACACCAGTACTGGTGCTATAGAGAGCAGATCACTGTAATGGCAGATTTAGGCAGGCAGACCAGTTCTGGATACTGTTGGGGAAGTCTACTGGAAGATGGGGCTCTGAATGAAGGCAGGGACTAGTGGAATGAATGATGGATGAAAACAAAACAATGTTGACAGGGTCGATTTAGGAAGTGATGGAAGGAGGCAGCAGCAGGACAACTCCCATGCCTACTTGGGTTCCTGGGTGGATGGGATTCAGTTATCCCAGGGACTAGGGCTATAGGGGGATAATGAAGTCATAGGAAATTAGGATGTACATTTCTCAGGGAAGATTTTCAGTAATATTCCCAAGAAAGAATTTTATGCTAGCAAAGTAAGTGCTTTCTAATGAGAAGTTAAAATGTGATTGACTCTGCTTACACTGGGAATAACTTTTGTCTGAATGATTTTATTCAGAAAATATGTGTGAGGCAAGAGATCTTTTTCATCCCAATAGATATCTGTTTAGCTATGACTTGGTATGCTGCAGAAATGTTTAAGGATTGTTGGTGCACGCATGGACAGCAATGACCCAGCTAGTGCATATTTGGTCTGTACATACAGTGATGATAAGTAATTAATTACCGTGAAAAGCTACCTTTTTTTAGGACAAACTTGGTGCCAAGCATTGTTTCTTGAAACAACAACATGGCAGACTATTTATATTCTAGAAATGAGGAAGTTGAGCAATTTGCTCAAGGCCAAACAGATAGGAAACAGCTGTTCTGGAGAAAATACAGACATATAGGTCCTGGCAACACATGGCAATTCCATGGAAATATTAAAAAATTGGATATAATTATATATATTGATAATATGTGATTGGATCCAATTTAAAAAAAAGCAAATTGGTTGGACATGATATTCTCAAAGACATGTTTTTATTGAGTTCTTCCCCTGGAAAACTTAATGAATAAGCAAAGGTAAGAAATTCTGATGATTAGAAAAGAAGGAAAGTATTGACTCAAATGGACTTCTTTAACCAAATTGAGCTCCTTTGGAGGGGGGGCAAAAACCCTCCTTCATAGTTGCTTCTTTGATACAACCTAATATGATGCTTGAACACGCAGTTGTTCAACACAATAAGTATTTATGGAATGAATGAATCCATAGGAAGCTCTTTCAAAACACATTCTCCTTGGAGTTTTTCAGTCCTCACAAGGTACGGACAAGTGGCAGAGCTGGTTAACACAGCATGATGAATCAGAATAGAAGATGGTTATGTAATATATACCCTGGGACATCCACACAACTGTAATTCAGTGATTAACAGAGTATATCCAACATGATTTTGTTTAGGGCTTCACAAAACCTGAAAGAATTGATTCCAGTTGGCTTGGATGAGGGGTCACACAGATGAAAAACAGACTTTCCCAACCAGAAATAATGGGCAGGATCCATTTAGTAAGACAGAAAAAAAAAAAGACAGGGTTTAGGGGTGAGATTGAAACTCAATCCTACTTAAGAGTTCAATTAACCCCAGAAGATTGAGGGGATCCATTACTTTCATGCCCATTCCTGTGCCTAGTAGGAGTTTAAAAGCAGAGATTTATAAAGATGGGAATAAAAAGATTCACATTTGTATACAAAATATTCAAAATATTTTTAATATTTTAAGTAGAACATACAAAGTGTTAGAAATATAAGGATTGTTTAGACTAATACCCGCTTAAAATTTCTGCAATTAAAATATTTTATTTTGAATTGTTAAATCCATTACCATTTGTCATAAGTTATTCATAAACATTAATCTGGAAAGGTAAAGTCACAGACTTCTAAATCAGTAATTTCCTTATTATGTTTATATTATCAAATACAATTATACTTCCTTCTAAACATGTTAGCATTTACTATAAAAATTCAAAACAAAACCCATTTAGGATAAATCCCAATAATTTTAACATTTTAAGTATAGGAAAAATTAAGTTCTGTTTAAATCAGCTCTTCCTGGAGTGTTAAGTGTCTTGAATGGGACACTCAGGCTTGGGGCTTGGGTAGTTTGAATGTTTCAATTAATAGGTCCTGAATTCAACAAATCACCTTAGGAAACAGAATTGAATGTATCAACTCTTTTAATTTATACCCCAGGGATTTATAAATGATCACCCAAAGACAGATAGCAATCACTAATTTCCCTTTTTAAGCTTACTTATTTGAAAGGTAGACACACACACACACACACACACACACACCCCAACAAACAAATATCCCATCTGCCAACACACTTCCTAACTGCCTGCAATAGCTGTGGCTAGGCTAGGGACCTAGAACTCAGTTCAGGTCTTCAACATGGGTGTCAGAGAGCCAAAGATTTGAGTCATTGCCTACTGCCTCCCGGCAAGCCCGTTAGCAGGAAGCTGGAATCAGACACCAAGCTTGGACTTGAACCCAGGCACTTCAATATGTCATGCAGATTTCCCAAGTGGCGTCAGAACTGTTGTGTTGATGGCTGCCACAATTTTGTCTTTTGTTACTATTCTTGAGGAGGAAAATTTCCAGGATTATGATAGAAAGTGGTAGTTTCACTACATTTATGCTATTACTTAAACTGTTTTCTGTTTTCAATAATATTTTCAAAATATTTGAGAAGCTTGATGAAATGAAGTGTTTCTCCATATCAAATGGAGCCCATGTGAGTGGAAGGAGAAGAGAATTCTTCAACTTCTATTCCTTAAGCTACAGCATTCTTATTTGTTTTCCACCTTCCCGTCAGCCAACAACTTTGTCCCAGTTTTCTCCTTGGTGAATGAAAGAATTTGCTGATATTCCAGAATAACATGACAATGTTCTGGTGTGATGAACTTTGTTTAAACTACAGCTAATCTTGGGAATTACAGAAAATGTCACAACCCAAGACAGAGTATGACCTTTGCTAAGTTTTTCTTCTTCATGATGTATGTGCTCAGCAAACTGCTTATTTCTTTTCCTAACTAGATAGCTAACACAATCTATTTAAAGACTTGATATTGAGGGACTGCATTTGGCTTTAGTAACAGGATGCCCAAGTTCCACAATGGAGTATCTGGGTTTAGTGCCTGCATCTGGTTCCTGACTCCTGCTTCTTGCTGTAGGTACCAGTGATGGCACAAATTTTGGGTTCTTACTATCCACATGACACTCTGGATTGATCCTACACCCTAGCTTTGCTCATCCCAACACTGGCAATCACAGACATTTAGGGAGTGATCCAGTAGATGGTACCTCTTTTCAATCTTTCCCTCCTTTTCCCTTAAACAATTAAATAGATATTTAAAAGTATATTGGTACTTTGGAAGTCTATGTAACTTAAATTCATTTTATATGTGTTAACAAATCATGGAATGAATAGTAGTACATTGTTAAACTGAGCAGTTTTTCTCTCCAAATGACCCATGATACCAGGACCATATTCTAATTTTGAAGATTTATCTTTTCATATTATTAGAACAAAGCAATCAGTCACAGCTTAAATGAAAAAGAAGAATAGCCTACAGAAGAACACAAATTATGAAAACTTTTTGTGTAAAAATGAACGGCAAAAATATTGTTGAAACTGAAGCAAGAATCTCAGTATAATTTTTTTAAAATTATTATTACTTTCCATGACTTAGTTTGGCAGATGTAGGGATCACCCATTCCCCCACTGTTTCTTCCCTTCCCACCATTTCCCCTGTGTTATAAAGGCAGTACAGTCCTTTCAAAACAGTTAAAAGTTCAACATTCTGCTATGTAAGTCTATCAGGGCATTATATGTGTAAACAATCATAGATAATCTAGTATCAGATTGTTAATGTATGCTTAACAGTTTATCCCAATATAAAATTGTATCAGACAACTTCTAATGTTTTAAACTTTAAGGGCTCTTGAAATGATGTTCTTAGAAGATGCTCTGGACCCTAAACTTTTAATATGGCTCTTAAAATTGTGAATATAGATAAACAAACCAATGTGCTTCAATTTTGGTAGCACATTTCCTTTCTCTCTCTCTCTTTTAGATGATGCTTACATAGTTGATCAGGGTGGGAAGGATCAAGGGCCAGGGAAAAGTGGGTGTGATCAATGTTTCCAAGTTTTCCATTTCTTTCCCCTGTATCTGGGGGGAGAGGGGAGGGGTATCACACTACTTTGTTTTGCTGTTATTACACAGAACACATAGGCCAATATTGAGAAACATCAAAAATATTTAGAAATCATATATATGTAATTCCACCATTCCAAGTCTGATTTTTCACATTTCCACTTTTACCATCAGTTTTTGTTCATGTTCCCACAACACTAATAAATAGTTCTGATAGCAAAGAACACAGAAACACAGTTTTTTTCCAATATAATTAAGCAGATTGCTTAATAACTACTTTTTTTATATTACAGAATCAACACATTTTTCCTATGACTCCTAAATAAGCTACTTAGGATCCAAAAATAAGTCTAGAATATTATTAACAACCAATTTCCAAAGATCATTTCTCACAATATTAGTCACCATCTAATTTTCCTTGAGGAAAAAAGAATTCATTTATTCCACTTACTAGAAGAGCAACAAGCAGAATACATCTTGTTTTAATTATGTAACATTATCTTAGAAAACCACATTTTTATATACTGTGAAAAGTAATTTCTTCAGTTATTCAAAACTAACACTTTCACAGAAAATTGATCAAATTTGTAAATTGTAGATGCTTAATGAAGTGTCTACCTTAAGATAAAATTTTATTTTAAAATATAAAGGAGAAAAAATATGACCAAAATGTCAACTCACCAGCCTTTTCCTTCTCTGAAATACCTTGGATAGCCTGGAAAAGAAAACGGAAAAGCCATCAAATGATGCTACTGTTCTGAAAGAAACATCAAATAGTACAATTACTCACATATTGAGTGAAAGTGAAACAGAGGCACAAAGTAAAGCAAGAAGCATGGTGGAACTACTGGGAAAGTTGTTAGAGTCAATTCTCTTCACTGCAATCATCACAGAATGATTTTCTTGGCCGAATATGAATTCAACTTCGCACTGGACACAACACTAAAACCACTCTAGCTCTGAGTGGAATTTGTGTTACTGATTTCTTTTTTCTTTTGGAGGCAGAAAAAGCAAATTGCTGTTTCAAATCTCTGTATGTCTCTTCTTTACTCTGTACACATGACAGAGCTACCTAATCACTCCAAATTCAGGTTTCTCCTTTGTAAAGTGAGATAATCGCATCTAGTCACAGAGCTGCCGAGAGAACTACTAAAGCTAACTCTAAAGCATCCAAAGTACTCAGAAAAAAGGTTGTGACCCTCAGGATTTATCACTATGAGCACGTGTCCTGTGGACTCATTTATTGACATGGGAACTTTAGAAGTTCCAGTCTCAACAGTCATCACTATTGTTATTTTCCAGACTGATTTCAGAATGAGATGTTTCAAAAGACTTACAGCAGAAATGTCTAGTTCTACTGTGTGTGTATATATTCTCCAGCACAAATTCAGTATACGTGCTGCCAAAGCGAGCGCCCCCAGCACAAACTCAGCAAGAGGCATTTCTTGTTCTTATTCACCTCAGCCATTCATGCATAAAAAAAAATTAGCATGGAAGCATCAATTTGCACTGGAAAGTTTTTTAGAATATATAATTCTATTTGACATATTGGAATTTGATGCCTTCTACACTGCAACCACTAAACACAACATAAAGATAGGGCTGAAAACAGTGTTTTCCCCACCTTGATAGTGGATAAAGTCTGTAAAGCTGGAGTAAGAAAAGCATGCTCAAATCAGCAATTGTGTTGTGAGTGACTGTGTGTGTGTATTTGAGAGTCAAGCGCATCTCTGTTGTAGATCAAGTCCAGAGAGCAGCATCAATCTTCACTCCCAGAAACATCACTTATCAAAGCACCTGTATCTTTGTGAGATATTGATTAATGCTGAGATTCTCATCTTTGGAATTTATGGGCTCCGCAGATTGCTGAAATTATTCAAATAAGATAAAAATCTACTAGTTAGAAATACAGAGGGTTTCTTTTATTAAGATTGATCTCTTCTTAAAACACATTTTGATCTCAAATCTGTCCACATTTAGTTGTCTGTACTTGTTCTTTGAATGATCATTAATTCTGCATCCCTCCAAAGATTCAGTGATGAGAAGAAAGATTATTAAATAGCATTAGAAGGATGGGATAGGCTTCCAGAATTTTCCAGAGTTATTTTTTTCATCTATAATAGGTTTTCCTTCTTTTAGAACTCTCATACACTTAAGTTATTTCCTTCCTTTACCCGACAGTTATCTCCTAGTTTGGGTGATACTTGCTTTTTACATGTTTTTAAAAAATATTTTAAAATGGAATTAAATCCACACTGTGGACCATATAGCAAGTCTAACTCCTTTTATCCCCTATCAGGGTTGTTAATTATGTTTTATCTTTTATGAAAAGCAAACAAACAGCCAAAAAAAAAGAGACGCTTCCATTAATTGACAATATTTTGATGATAGGCCGCTAATCAGTGTTTGTGGAAAAAATTCCTTGGAATAAAAATGGCTAATACTTAATGGGTACTCAGTATCAATAAGGCACAGTTTTAACTTTTACCTGCATATCTTTCCTCAATCCTTAGAGGAACTGGCAACTAAAGCACCTTTTGGAAGATCACATGGTTAGTAATGGAAACCAGGGCACAACCAATGGCATGCTGGCCCCTGAGCCACATTTACCAGGCTATTTCAAAATAAAAAAAATTAGGTTTGGAGAGGTCCCAAAATTGTTGACCAGGACCATACACTGGGTGGTCCTGCACAGGACCATCTGTGGAGGAATGTCTGCTTAGAATATTTAAAATTTACCCTCATTTGGCTAAGGCAGTTGAGTCAAATTTAATGCCTTGTCCCAAATCACAGGTTGACTGGTGACAAAGACAGACCTTTCCCATCAAGATTGATGATGGAAGTATGTAACTGAGCATGCATAATGTTTCACAAACATGACAGTCAGCAAAAAATACTTTTGCTTTCATGGTCCAATGCTCATATTCTTATAGACAATGCGAACTGCATTCAAATCTCACCATGTTATGCAGGATTCTTTAAGCAGTAAATATTGATTTCTATTAATGATCATAATAATCAAATTACAGATTTGGAGAGTGGATGGCCAACATTTAGTGATTTAAAAATTTTATAACTTTTCTTTTAAGATCATATATTAATACCAACTAGAGGAGTCAGTGTTGTGGCACAGCACATTAAGCAGCTGCTTGTGTGGAGTCCTGGTTGCTCCACTTCTGATCCAGCTATCTGCTAACGTGTCTGGGTAAGCAGTTCCCATTGCTTCAGCCCCTGACTCCTATGGGTGACCTGGAAGAAGTTCTTGGCTTCAGCCTGGCCCAGCCTCTATGCTGTGGTCATCTGGGAAGTGAATCAGAGGAGACAAGATCTCTCTCCCTTTCTCTCTGTTTCTTCCTCCCCTTATTTCCCTCCCTCTCTATAACTCTGCCTCTCAAAAAAAAAAAAAATCTTAAAAAAAAAGGGCAGGGGGAGAACAGCCCTCACTGATTTACCTTTGATTTTGAGGGAGAATTTTCTTGTAGATAATGATTTCTGAGTAAATTAAATCAAGTTGTACAATTTCCTAAAGCCCAAAGACATTAAAGAAGTTAGAAAACACTGGGACTTGATTTTCAACTAATTAAATGTATTTGCTGGATCTTAATTAAATGTCTCACATTATCTTAGGTGTACAAAACCTTCAGCAAAGTTTTCTTCTTTGTGCAATTAATACTCTAATTTAAGAAAAAACAAAAAAAATTGTCTTACGCAGAAGTTATCAACCAGCACTGATTAGACCCATCGTTGATGTTCCATTCTGAGGAATGGAAAGATAGCAGATGATGCAGACTACCCAGGTGAAACAAAATGGCTTTCCCGGGCATTGAATTCTTCGGAAGAAACATTGGTCAGGAGATTCTTCCCACCCTTAACTTCTAGGAAACATGGCTAGATTTGTTTCCATGTCCTGTGTTCCCATATCCATGAAAAAAACAACTTACAATCATGGAAAAGATAAGCTTATTTTGCTGCAAAACAATTTTTACTCTCTGTGTATTAGTATTTAATATTATACATTTTTCACAAACTTTATGAAGACCCACTTTAGGGATTAAAAAGGAAGGTTCCATGCGAGCTGGCTGTTTAAGCTGGTTTAGAGAAGGCATTCATCATACATTTGTGGAATTAAAATACAAATATGTAGTTGTGTCTACAGTTTAAATAATAAGTATGATTGTTGCTTATGAGAAAGATCCCATAAAAGCATATTTTTGAATTCATTAGGGGCTTTTGCTAATAGCTGCCATATGTTTCATTTGAACTGCATCCTCAGGAAGTGATTTAACATTTCTGGCAATAAAGCAATTAAATAGGATTTTCCTGCTGGCCATATGGGTTAGCTGTAACTTCATATTTTCTTTTCTCCCTTTTCAATGGAACAAAGGAAAGTCTACTAATAACTTCCAAATGAGAGAAAAGAAAATCTTCCATAGTCTGCTTATTCTACTCTGTGATATTTAGATGATAACAACCGTTTCCACGGCTCCACATCACCCTTGTTGCTCCACAAATTGACAATCTGACAGTCCTCTCCAGGTTAAGGTTTCATATTAAGCTGGCCTGTTAAAGGTGCTTTGAATTGAATCTTTAAAACATCATTTAAAAGAAGGCCCTTCTGTAAAGGAGGAGGAAGCAATTTTCCTTCTGCTAATGAGATCTTTGAAAGCTGTGTGTGGGAGCTTAGACCAAGTGTTTGTCTGTTTGTGTTTTGGGCAGTAGGCCATGGTCTGAGAGATGCTGATTTAGACAAGCCTCTGGGAAATGTTATAGACACATGTTGATTCTTTTGATCTGCTGGGAATGCTTCCTGCACGCCCAGGAGGACTCTCAGCTCAACACCTTTCAGGAACGTCACACCAGCCACACAGAAGCTGCTGACATAAAGGGTAACAGAGGTTGTGTCGAAATCCATTGTAGTGCAATGACAATTGAAATGTTCTAATTGAACCAGTCTCTTTTTGATCATAGGATGTGAAAAGGAGACATGATTTAAAATGTTACTTGTATTAACATGCTATTTTCCTCACCTGGAGAAAGCACTTTGCTCTCACTTCTTTGGACTCAGAAGCACAGAATGTCAAGACTAAGAAGTATCTTTGAGAAACAAGTCTTAGAGAGACAGGCAGCTAAGAAGGTTGAGCAGTTCCACTCCTAAACTCCAATGAAGGGAAACACAACAAAACCACCACTTATTTTGTGCCTTCCCTCTCTCTAGTCAGTGCTTAGTTTGCCTGTTTTCATGTATTAAAGGCACTCATGTTTGGATTAAAAAATGCATATAATGACATTTTGTCTCTTGGCTTCTTAGGATCTTCTTTGCCCTTTTTTAGTTATTTTTCCTCAACCATGGACAAAACTGCCTAGGGTCTGTCTAGCTTTCACTTACCTTGGGCGTGGTCTCTATGGAACTCAGTGTATTGTCCATCTTTTTTGTTTATTTGTTTGTTTAAGATTTATTTGAAAGAGTTACTGAGAGGGTGGGGGGGAGAAATTTTCCATTTACTGATTTGGTCCCCAAATGGCCTCAACAGCCAGGGCTGAGACAAACTGAAGCCAAGACCCAAGAGTTTCTTCTGGGACTCCCATGTGGGTAGCAAACAAACACTTTTGTTGATTTCTCCAGGACATTAACAGGGAGCTGGATCTGAATGGAGCAGCCTGGACATGAACTAGAGCCCACATGGGATGCCCACCCCCAGAGTTTACCTTTGAGCT